GTCCCCACCGTGCAGAGCCAGGACACGGGCGCGCGGTCCCCACCGTGCAGAGCCAGGACACGGGCACGCGGTCCCCACCGTGCAGAGCCAGGACACGGGCACACGGTCCCCACCGTGCAGAGCCAGGACACGGGCGCACAGTCCCCACTGCCCAGAGCCAGGACACGGGCGCACGGCCAGGGGAGTAGGGTGGCCAGCCGGGAGGCCGCCCTCGAGAGGGAACCCAGGCCCTGGAAGTGAGGCCAGGGTGAGAGACAAGGTGGCGTGTGGTTTGCAGTGTCTGCCCAGACTCACGTGTGAAAATCTGCCTGTGGGGTGAATGTGCCGCTGTACGGCCCCCAGCCTTTCTGTGCCCCTGCGTCCCACCAGCAAGGAGAAGCTGGCGTGCAGCCCTGCTGCTGTTGCCACATGACTAAAACACGCTGCACTTGAGGAAACCTTCCAGAAAGTCCAACAGAAGCAGGCAAGACAGAAGGCGACACTGGAGAAGCAGGGCAGCATGGACAACAGGGCCGACAAGACCAGTGCCCTGCCGATGGGGGAAGCCTGGGGCCCAGACAGCTCCCAGACCTGGAGAGGCAGGCCCTGCTCTAGCCTGCCCAGCATGGCTGTCCGTGGGCTCCCTGGACAGCCATGGGGACATGGGCAGCAGGAAGGGCTGGCCAGGCCTCCACCAGGCCAGCCAGGAGGCCATGGTGCGGCCCTGAGCTCTGCCACTGGGCCTTGAGAATCGAGGTAGGAGACCAGGCAACAGAGAGGAGGGCCGTGGGCCCGGGAGACTGACATGCGGACGGAGAAGGGAGCTGCAGGGTGTGGCCCCACCGTCTCACCTTTGTCCACTGACGGGCGCTCGAGGGCAGGAGCAGATGAAGACCTGCCCGCGGTCCAGGGCTTGGTTGCGTTCGCTGCGGTTCCCGGCGAGCGCTGAGCCCTTGCTGTGCGAGTGCCTTGGATGAAACACAGAGTTAACCTCTGGGGCCTGTGGACGGGTGCAGAGCCAGCCCAGCTCCCAGATGGCACAGCCGCGGAGACGGCCACGGTGTCCCTGGAGTGACAGTCGAACCAGGGGCAGGGATGGAGGGCGGTGTGCAAGTGGGGCAGGAGGTGTCCCAGGCAGGAGAGCCGTGACAGCGTCTGGGGTCCCTCCACCCTCCCAGAGCTGCAGCAGAGCTCCCACCTGCACGGCCACACGTGGCAAACGGCAGGAACGGCGGGGCACCGAGCAGTTCCTCACAGCAGGAGCCAGGCTCAGTGCTCGGACACATGATGGGGCAGCCCCGTAGCCTCGTGGAGACCTGAAAACCATGGCAGTGCATGTGTGTGCATGTCCCCAGTCCCAGCAGGGTGGAGGCGTGGGGGAAGGGATAGCAGTACGACCACGCCTGTCAGGGGTGCTTCCTTCTCCCCTCCCCTCCTGCTCTCTGGCAAGTGCACACGCCCTCCACAAATTGAAAACAAACCAACCTCAGGGACCAGCAGGTGCATAGTGGTTACGTTGCTTGACTCTCAGATGGCTGATGCGGTTCGAGTCCCGGATCCAGTGGCTTCAAAATCAGTGCGTGCCCGAGATCCTGGGAGGAGAATGGAGAAGGGATTGCAGCGTGGCCATCCCCCGGGGGTGATTTCTCACTCCCTTTCACTGTCTCTCTCTCTAGTGAGCACACGTGCCTTAATACAGAACCTCTTCAGAAACATGAAAACAGACAAACCTCATATAAGCTCCTATTAAAAACAGACGTGGGTTTTACTCCAGGAAGCAGAGCTCCAGGGGTAGCTAGCCCCAGCTGGACCATGCCTCTAACAGCCTGAGGGCCCTTTTGCCTGGGGGGCAAGCCAGCAGGGTGTGGGGGAACTTGGCCCCAGCAGCTGAGCTCCAGCCGGGCCTTTTCCTCGAAATCTGGCCCCTGGTTTTCTCTGGCAGGAGGAGGGGTGAAGCGGGGGTGGGGGTGCTGGCAGGGGTGTAGGGCTGGCCTGGAGGTTTGGCCGCCCCAGAGCTCACTGGGGCCCCCTTCCGGGCGTCTCGAGCAATTGGCATGGTGCCCTGCAGTTGGTGGGCAGGGCCCCAGGGAGCTCCCCGTCCCGGGTCACCGTGCTCCTCAGACCCTGTGCCTTGCTGTTGCAGACTGCCAATGGGAACGTGGAGGCCAAGGTGGTGTGCTTCTACCGAAGGCGGGACATCTCCAGCACACTCATCGCCCTGGCCGACAAGCACGCCAGTGAGTCTGGGCCGCCCCGTGCCCTCTCTCCCTGGACGCTCTCGTCCCCGGGCCCTGCGGGCCTGCTCTGTCCGCCTCTGTAATGCCCTGCGTGCAGACACCCAGAGGCCCACGGGCCACGCGTGGGTCCTGACTTAGCTGGCTTGTGGCCTGTCCCTCAGGGCCTTCCCGACTGTTCTGGAAGAAGTGGGTGTGGGCGGCGTGAGGCAGACGGGGGTGGGGCAGCTGTACTCACTGAAGCTCTGTAATGACCCCTTTGGACTGTCCTCCAGGTGTCAGGCCGACGGCCCTGGGCTGGGCCGATGGGCGTCGTGGGGGGGTGCCAGCCAGGCTCGACCCGTGTGCCTGCCCTGCTCTTCTTAAGAGCAGACATCATGAGCAGAGTTTGCAGAAACGCGTCCCGGTGTCCCACGCCAGCCGCTCCTGCCCAGATGTGCTGGTTGGAGGGTGTCTGAGCCCTCAGTGGGACAGGGTCCCCGGGCAGGGGCTGCCTGTGTTGGGGGCAGTGGCGACCCCCAGCATAGTGGCCGCGCGCCCAGCGGAGGCAGTTACTTCCCCATCCAGGGCTCTTTGGGTGTCCTTCCAAGTTTTTCGTGGGGGTTGCAGCTCCGTGTGGGTAGAGGTCTAGGGACCGCAGGGGACCCAGCCAGGTCCCCCAGCCCCAGGAGGTGGGCAGAGGTGGCCCTTCTGGGCCTCAGGTATGAGGATGAGAAGGCACGGGACCTCAGGACTGGGGGGACCTCTGCTGGTCCCCATGGCCTCTCTGCCTAGGCTTCACCTGGCACCTTCATGGCACAACCAAGTCCCGGCGCGTGGACTTCAGGACGTCCGAACCACAGCCGGGCCGGCCCTGGCCCGGGCCTCAGCCTGCCTGATGTCTTGTGGGCAGGTGCTCAGTGGGTCCCGAGAGCAGAGGGGCGGCTGACCCGGAGGGCGAGGCCTGCTGCTCATCTGCCCAGGGGCGCCTCAGCCCGCAGACCCCCAGCCCTGCACTCCGCCCCGAGGGCCCCTGGGAAGCTTACCTGGCACTGGCGTCTGCTCCCCGGCAGCCCACTGTGTCGCCACGGAGCCCACTCTGCTCAGCTGTGTCCACTCAGCCAGGAGACAGTGGGAGGAGGTGATGGGTCTTGGGAGAGCCCAGCCAGGCTCAGACAGCAGGGCCTGTCTCGTCTCTGAGCCGGGACCAGCATCTGGGCCTGGCCCTCCCTGCTGCTGACCAGGCTGTTAGTGCCATGGCAGCCAGAGGGCGCCCAGCACTTCCAACTGTACCCACCGATCTAGCCCTGGACTCTGTGGCCTGGTGTGGCGCGGTGTGCCCGTGGGTGCTGGCCGGCCATAGGCTGTGGCTGTGGCTGTGCCGCTCCCCAGGAAGGGAGAGCCTCGCGGTCAGCTACCTGGGCCCTGCGGGCTGGGGCCGAGGCCGCCTGATCGTGGCTGCCGGCCCTTGGTCTGGGCCTGGCCAGGAGGCAAACAGCCTGACGCTGCCCGGCTGTCTGTCTGTCTGTCTGTCGTACAGCCCTGTCAGTCTGCTATAAAGCTGGACCAGGGGCGGAGAACGGCGAGGAAGGTAAGAGCTGGGTTGGGGAAGGGCGTCCTTGTGTCTGCCCTGGGTTGGGGACAGGACCCCGACGTTCCCTGCAGCCTAGCCTTGGCCCCGAGGGCCATGCCCTGGGCTGGGGCGCCGGGAACCCTATGGGGCCTTGCGGGCACGCTGGCACCTGCGGGTGGGGCCGCGGGGCGAGGGTAGGCCTCTCTGCAGAGCGGCTGACGGCTCCGGTCCTGCAGGGGGCGTGGAGGAGGAGCTGGAGAACCCCGAGGTGCTGGACCTGCCCGAGAAGGGCAGCTCGAGTCCCTGCCCGCCACCCACATCAGGTAGCCCGCCGCCCCCGCCCCCTGCCCCCTGCCTCCGCCCACGCCCTCCACCTGCTGTCCTTCTCTTCCAGGGGCAAGTGCAGCGTCACCCTGCTCAACGAGACCGAGTCACTCCGGTCCTACCTGGAGCGGGAGGTGAGGCTGGCCCTGGCCGCTGTCCCCACACCCACGACCTCTGCTGCCGGCCGGGGCAGCCCTCCTGCCTGCCCTCCCCCAGCACCCTGAGACCAGGCCATTCACGGGTCACTTCAGATGTCCTCGCATGCCACAGCCGGAGGTGTGGCCCGAGTGGACACCCCCACCTGTTCCAGCCTCACCACACCTCAGAGGAGGGCTCGGCTGGCCTTGCCGGGCTGTGCCGTTAGCCGTCCTGCCTGTGGTCTGAGGACACCCAGGTTGCTGGCCTTGGGGTGCCCATCATAGGCCACCCGGTTGTGGCAGCCAGGCCCTGAGACAAGAGCTTGGAGCCCTGAGGACAGCTTCCGCCTGGGGAGCCACCCCTGAGGGCACTGGGAGGGGTGTTTTGGGGGCTGAAGCGCCAGTTATGGGGTAGGGGCCGTCGGAGAACATTGGGGCCTCCCTGCTCGTCCTGCCCACTCCCCTCTCCAGCTGGTGCTCAGCCACCTGGGCCCCTGAGCCCCTCCCGTGTCCTCCTCGGGTCCTCATTGCTCCCCCACCCACCACACGGGTGATAGGCTGTGCTACGAGAAGTGAGGTGGCAGGATGGCCGGGCGGCCCTGGCTGGGAGGGTGGCATCTTGCAGCTTAGGAGGGTCCTAGCGACAGCTGTGGGGACACTGCAGCCACGGGAGGCGGCCGGAGCACGAGGGCCGATCCCCGTGGTCTGTGCTGTGAGCGTGCCAGCACGTGTGTCCCTGCATGGAGACGGGCTGGCTCTCGGGACAGGCGTGCGTTGCCGGGCGGTGGCCCGTGTTCTTCAACACCAAGAGTTCCACCGACAGCGCGGGCAGCACGAACTGGCCACACCCCAGGCCAGGCCCCAGCAGCTGCCCCTGGGCCCGCCCACACGCGACGTGGCCCCGTCCCTTGAGCCCGGCATCCCAGCAGGCGAGGACTCTGGGGGCTCCAGGGTGGCCTCCTGCTGGCCTCGTTATAAGTGAAGGAAAGACAGGCCCGCAGGTGGCGTGGAGGTTACAGTGGCTGGATCCCGCGTGGCGGGCTGTGCAGCTCAAGTTCTGGACCCAGTGGCTAGAAAACACGCTGGGTGCGTGCGTGCCTAGATCCCGGGAGGAGAGTGGAAGAGAAGGGATTGCCGTGTGGCCATTCCTCCTGGGGGCGTTTCTCGCTGCTGCTCTCTGGCAAGCACGTGCCCTGTAGCAAACGAGCAGACAGTGGAAGCCGGTACTGGGCCCGCGGAGGGGCCGGCTGGCGTCAGGACACTGCCGGGCAGGGAGGGTCAGGAGCGGCCGCGGCGGGAGCTGCGGCCGGGGCTCTAGCCAGCTGTGGCATTGTTGCAGGTGTCCAGACCCCTGTGCTCACGTCCCCTATGGGACCCACACAACAGGGGCCGAGCCCAGGGCCAGGGCCTGTCGTGTCCGCTCCTGCCGTGTCCCACGGTTCTGTTCACACATGTGCTGTGTGTGCGTGCGTGTGGGGGGTCCAGACAGCTAGTTTTCTGTTGGGATCCTCCTGCCTGGGCCTCCCAAGCGGCAGGGACCTGGAACACATTCACACGCCGTGTTGGTGCTGAGAGCAACTCAGTGGGGACCAGCCCTGGGACCTCGTGGTTGACCTAGGGGGTCCCACATAACTGACTGCGGTTTGAGTCCCAGCCCCGGCAGCTCGAAAACACTGGGCACGTGGGTGTGTGAGCCCCAGATCCCCACGGGAAGAAGTGAAGGGTTGTGTATGGCCCCATGTTGGGACGTGTCCTGTGTACATGTGCACGCACGCAAGACCCCGACGTCCTGGGTGTGCACGCTGGCTATGGCCAGCCCAGTGAGCTCAGCTCGCCTACTCTGCCCATCCTCGGCAGGGGCTCACGCCCTCCCTCCCAGCACCGTCCCCTGTGGGCTTCCTGCCTAGGCTGCGCTGAGGCCTGGAGCCGTGGGGTTCGCTCGGAGCCCTCCCATCTGTGCCCTGAAGCCATGGGGCACACCCCGGGAGCTTGGGCAGGGCTCTCTGGCACCCGGGCTGACGCCGCTGTCTCGTGTGGTGTTTTTCAGGATTTCTTCTTCTATTCTCTAGTCTACGACCCACAGCAGAAGACCCTCCTGGCCGACAAAGGGGAGATCCGAGTGGGGAGCCGGTACCAGGCCGACATCACTGACTTGCTGAGGGAAGGTAGGGTGTGGGACAGCCGCCAGGGACCCAGGCATGTCCCCCCTCCCCTGGCCCGCTGGCACTGGGCGTGGCTGCAGACTCCGCGACCCGGCCTGAGAGAGAGCAGGCATGGGTCCTGCGGGCGGTGGCAGGGCCTTCCCTCCCACTGACGGGGTTTGGGGCTTCGGAAGCCAGGCCCAGTACGAGCCCAGGACCGCGAAGCCGTCCTCAGTATGCCCTGGTTGCTTTCCTTCGGGCGTTTGTTACTTCCTTAGAGGGGTCTCTCCAGAGCACTTCATACAGCCCAGAGCCTTCTGCGTTTTGCCTGTGGGTCCTGCCCTCTGGGGCTGCTCTTAGGACACTGTCCCGGAGGCTGGCATCTCCCCTCCCCGAGTCTGCCCATGGCCCTGGCAGGACGTGGGGGGACTCACTCCATCCCCTTCCCAGCCCCGAACTCCACTCCTCACCTCCTGTGAGGCCCGTGGAATGCAGGGGCGGTCACCTCTGCTCAGGGTCCTGCCCGTGCCGGTGACAGGGCCCTCACCTGGGCTCGTGGCTGTGGGACTCCCTTCTCCATGCCATGCCGACGCAGTCAACAGCGACAGTGTCTGCTCCCCCCACGTACCCACGGTGTCCACAGGACATGGGGCCGAGTGGCCCCAGGGCATGGGCTTCCTTCATTTGTGCCTAGAGGCCGTGGCCAGGTCGGGGCCTGGTCTGCACTCAGGTGCTGAGCCTCAGTGAGCTCAGCTCAGAGCAGCTGGACGGCCACAGCACCTCCCTGGGAGCCCCTCAGCCCACGCCAGCCCTCGGTCGTGATCTAAGAACTCCTCACGGGGACCAGAACTGGTTGGCGCCAGGTCGCCTCCCCTCCTTGGGCTTTGGTCCCTGTCCCTGGCGTGGGGAACTCATGGCTGCCGGCGGCCAGACCCTGCTGACCGCTGGGCACATGGGACCTGACCCGGGCCACACCCGGCCTCCCCGGAGCCCCAGCGTGGGTATGACCTCGGGCTGGCCGCCTGCCCTCAGGGCGTCTCCTCGTATCTGGTGACAGGTGTGTCCCCAAGTTGCCTTCCAGGCTGCCTTGCGGTGGCCTCCCCTTCTACTTTTCTGGGTCCTGGTGGCCCTTGAGCCACAAGGCCGCAGGCCTGGGTATCTTCCGCTTCTTTCCGGAGTTCCAGTATGACCCGTGGGATGGGAAGGCACACCCTGGGGCACCTCCAGCCTGCATCTGCCCCAGGGTGTACCCCTCAGCCGCGCCACTCTGGGCAGTGGAGGCCCTCGCGGGTGCAGTCGGCACACACTGCTCTCAGCCACCACCTCCCCGGGCACCAGCCTCTCACCCTGTCGTCGGTCAGGCACGAGGACCAGCCGAGGTGGCTGCCTTGGGGGGGTTCTGCTGAAA